ATTGGTTAATAATAATAATAATAATAATAATAATAATTTATTCTCAAATAACAAACATGTTACAAGAGACATGCCAATTTACAGGCAAGATCAAAATGTTAAGATTAGCAACATATTTCTTTTAAAACGGTATATAGTTACTGAAACATTTCACAAGATTCATTGTTTTCTTAAAGATGGAATGTACAATGCGAATAATTGGCGCAAGTTACGAAGGTTGCGTTACGACAATCATCTTATGGGCTGAGAAACGATTCATGGTAGAGATAGGTTTTCATATAACAAGAATTGATGCGGTAAATGTACAAACGTCTGGTTGATATTCATCAGCTAATGATTTCACATGTTCTTGGGTAGGGTAACCAAGTCTACTGCAAATATCCAGACGAATATATGTGGATTGGAATAAGGTTCTGAAAAAAGAGGAATAAAGAAAACGGGACGAGGAGCGGAACAGAAAATATTCTTGTTCAAAGCCGAACAACGGCTTTGCACATACGTTTATGGATAAAACAAAGGTATATTTACTCAGACTTTTTTAATATCATAACAAAAACTAAACACCTGCACTTATGTAGGTTAATGAAGACAATTCAGTAGTGAGATAACTAATGAGAAGTTAGTTGAAAGAATAGAGGAAATTCAGAAGAACCAAGTTGTTAGTAATAAAGTTGATTTACAAAATATAATAAAGAGGATCTGTGATATAATTTTTTGTTTTATTTATTCTTAGGCATCAATGCTATACAGTTAACAGTTATGGAGAAATAGTAAGGATTTTCAAACAAGATATAAGCACTTAGAATGTAGTGAGGGAGATGTTCTTAACTAGCTAAGCAGGAGATTTAAAGAGTATCACGGTTAAAAGTTGAGCAATAGATAACACTAAGGGATTAAGGTAAGTCAATAGCGTGTAAGTGAGAACAGTATAATTGATAATAGGCAATGTGAAACTCACACAGTTGTAAGTGTTGATAAGGTTGCGCCCAGGAGAGTAGAGTGCGTTCTAATCAACCAGTTTACAATTGAACAGTGTCGATCGACCCAGTGAGTAGAGTAACCTGTCTATTTCAAATAAGAAATAAAGAGATTTATATTCAACTAGAAAAATTCAATGCTACTTGGGAGGGTAAAAATAACTAAATAAGACGCAGCACTGAGTTCATTGTGTTTAAAGTATATGCAGAGCTATTAATGTGAAAGCAGGGTGCGAGTGAGTTCACGAGTGCAGAAGAGTCGGTGCAACTGAGAGCATCATTAAGAAGTTGAACAAACTCATGTAACCCACTTGCCATGCGTATTTTAGAGGGAAGCCTATTCCATATAAGTGCATACTTAGAGAGGAAGACGTTTTCTCGAGTTTTGGATCTATACTTCTCATGTTTGACTGTAGATACCTTATGTTGAAGGTTATGTGTACATGGGCCATGGATAAGGACTAAACTGCAGGAGGAATATGTGGGCTTGTGCAGGAGTTTAAAGTAAAGGATCAGATTGGACTTAAGCCTTCTTTTCCATAATGGATCAAGCCCGAGTGAGCTATGATTTAGGACTTTCCGAGTAAAGTTCCCTTGTTTTCCTTCAAGCTTCAACATATCAAACAGGCGTAGGCTAGACAATAAGAAAGAGCAGTATTCAGCAATCAGTCTTACACATGTTTTGTAGAGAATGGTTCTGGATTCTCTATGAAGGAAGTTACGAAAGATGAAACCTAGCATTCTTCTCATTTGGGAAACTTTATTGGAGATATGATCAGCAAAGTTAAGGCTGTGCGAATAATGCACTCCAAGATCAGTTACGGATGTGAGTTTGGGCAATACATTCCTGTTGAGAATGAGATCTAATTTGGGAGACGTGTCTCCGAAACACATCCAGCCACACTTCTCAGTATTAAGTTCAAGGTTCCATTGCTTACACCAGACATCTTCAGTATTGAGTTCGTGCTGGATTGTGTGCAACAAGTTTCCTAAGTCAGATATTCTAGTTTGATAAATCACTTTTAGGTCATCCGCATAGAGGTAGGTTGAAACAACTGCATATGCTGTTGATGTAGATTACGAAAAACAGTGGACCCAAAACACTGCCCTACACAACTTCACTGGTAATTGGTCGAGGTGTAGATGTATGTGAGTTGATTTTGGTAATCTGATATCTATCTGTCAGGAACGACCTAATCCATTGCAACAGGTGGCCACTAATCCCGACGGACTGAAGTCTGTTGATTAAGATAATGTGAGGTACGAAACACTTGGTAGGAGCAGTTTGCCGACATCCCTCATGTACCTGATGAACTCTTAATTGCGAAGGTATCAAAGATGGGCTAGACTGATTCACTTCTCTCACCACCTACAGAACAGGGAGTTTCTTTCCAAGGTCAATAGCGCATGTGGGCAAGCAAATCTCAACATCAGGAGTTTTGCTAGAGACCATTTAAAGTGCGTTGCTCTTCCTGATGTTAATTAATAACGATGCAATGATTTCAAGGTCCATAAAAATGGGAGTGGATTCAATAAAGCTTCAAACTGACTGTACAGTGATAGGGAAATAGTCAATGAACAGTGGATAAGGATATAACCAGATGAAATGTCACGTAATGAACGGTTTGTCCCACATGACGAGAACAACTTGTATCCTCACTTGGAGTCTGTTCCCTAATATCTCCTCAGAGCGCGATCTTCGTACAATAAACAACAGAGAGCCTGAATGTAACTGCAATCTACATAGAGGATCCAGTCAAAGCTGATGCAACTTTTCAGCTTATGCGACGGCGAATTTGTGCAATCACCACAGATTTGTTCTTAACTTTATTTAAAACACACAACGGCCACATCTTGAAGTTCTCAATGTCGTCGCATCACCTCTCTTTGAAACAGACATAAATCTCTTGGATCCAGTGCACAGACAAGCAACTAAATGGATGATAAGGTTAAAGAATTAACCTCACGAAGACAGGCCTTAGCACCTAAGATTATTTAAAATTCAAGGGTAATATGAAAATGGCATTCAGCATATGTAACACGGAGGATGATTCCAGTGCGAGCATCTTGACATCTCTCGAGGTAACAGTAAAAATTTATACTCCGGAAAGCGAATACCTAAGTACGCGCCCATTCTTTCTCATCAAGATTTGTTCCAACTTGGAATGTTCTCCCAGCCGAAGAGACCACAACCTTATCACTGGATACCTCGATAAATGCGTACTTTTATACGGATTACCGTCTCCCTCTTGGACCAGCTGTGCCTGACGCACGTATTGAGACGTTTGGTTGCTATTATGATCATTTCCTCAGATAACTAATTTATTCTATCCCGCTTATTATATCCATTCTCTATCCTTTGTTTATACTTCTGTCCTCATACACGGTCTTCCCTAACAATTAAATGAATTGTTTAACTATTTATATTGTTTCGAAAAGATTCTCTTCCCAATAGCACCAGAATTCTAGTCTTTACCCCCCACAATGCAGCTAACACATCTTCAGCCCGGTAATGTGCTAGCTGTTAGGATCCAGAAACCCCATTTCTCTGAAACAAACGTACTCATTCAGATCACGGGATATTCAAGGAGGGAGGGTGGTTATCTTACCAGCATTCATAACGGTACGGCGATAACCTCAATCTACCCATGTCTATGGGGCAGAACATTTTGTTTGTTTACGGCTGCTTATGATATATCAGGATGTAACAAATCAGTGATATCGATGTCACTTTTTCCTTGTCAACATCGTCTTCGACTCATGCCTGTAACCTTGCAGTGCTCTTAACTTCCTACCACGAAATCCTATTACAAGAGGATCTAGAAAATTGTACTGAAAAGGAGCTCACTCATGACTTCTTGAGCTGCAGAGTAAAAAAAAGAATAAATAAAATATCACAAAAGCATCAGATCATTGTGGCTCATTATTATATTCTGTACGTCAACATTATTTCTAACAATCTGTTTCTTCTGAATTTCCTATATTCATACGATTAGTTGCAGATTCGTTATCTTACTGGTGACTTCTCTGTAGAGGAAATATATGGATGATATTTTGGTTAATAACGTTAAGGATGTCTTTCATTTACTGAATAATTGCAATACTCTTCAGTACGACATTGCCCTAACCAACGAAGCAGAAATTGATAACCCAACTGCCAATTTTAGACATACTGTTGAACCGAACGGAAAATGGAGCTACAAAGCGTTCATTTTATAGAGCGCCAATATGGACTAGGCAGCATTTAAATTTCAGTTTTTGTCCACTGCAACACAAGCGAGGATTTTTAAAATGCCTCTTCAATAGGAAAAAAAAGACTTTTTACCATGGATACATTTGAAGACGATACGAAATTCTTGGCTGAAACATTGATTCCAAAAGGTTGTCCACAAATTTCACCATTAGGTGTAGAAGTCACTAAAGACAAATGCCTGTGCATCATTCTGCTAAAACAAAAATGTTTATATCACCTTACCACTTAGAGGCGAATTTAATGGTCTAATCTTAATAGCAGCCATAGAGAGAACATACTACGCTGCTAAACTGATTGTAATTGGTAAGACTAAGCTCACGATTCCGAATATGCCTAAACATTGTTACAATGATTACATCACATCCCACTGCACTTATCAATTGAAATTTCTGTATAGACACACATACATAGGGAGGAGTAATCGGACTTTGCAATCAAGGGTTATGGGACGTCAAATACCTTGTGTGTACACAAACAGCTGGTTATAACCTTAAATTCTCTTTGGTAATCTTTAGGCCTGGGGTAATGTGGCAGTTTCCGAACCTTTTTTATTTTTTTCATATTACGCTAATTTTCTTTCCGCTTTTTTACAGTCATTTAATTGAACTTTTATTAATTTTCATATAAAATACCTTGACAAGTATATGTGTGAACAGATTGTTCGAAATGCATAGCATGAACACATCAATTTTTCGGATCAATTACGTCTTCTCACTGTTCTATCGAAATTCTTAGAAAAGACTAATTGTTGTAAATTCTAGTAGGTGAGGCGCTGAGATTGTTTTTTTCAAGGTCAAAATGAGGTTCTTTGCCACAAAAGCTCCAAATGAAGAAGTTTCACTGACCAATAGGGTGTTTTTCAACCCAAAAGATTTCAATGAAAAACTTAGGTATATTTATTGCGATTTTTGAGATCAATTTTTCTAGTTGCGTGGCCATACACACGTCGGCTGGTAAATATATTTTTCGTGCTGGTTCACATGATCATGTGCCTCAAGGAAAAGTTGCGTTTGGTTTGGCTCAGGTTAGTTATTGCTTGCTTTTCGTTTAAAAGTTTATCTGGAGGTATTTGCAAATGAATTTTCAGGTTTTCTAAGGTTCTTCAAAAGGGTATAAAACATTCGGCAAAAGACTTCATACTAATGGCCTACTTAGAATTATTAAGCAGCCAGAAATATAAAGTGGCGATCGGACGTAGTAGTCAGGTGCTCTTACTTAGGTTCCTTGTCTTTTTGCACCCTTTGGTAATGTGAGCCCTTAACATTGAAAGAAACTGATGCTTCGTTGTTAATTCGATCCAATGTCACTCAAAATTATTGTCAAAGACGTTACCACCGAATTATTCGGACAGTTACTGACGTTCTATATTATTTAAATGTACTTAGGACTGATCAGTCACTAGGCAGTAATCGTTATCGTGGATGCTAAGTCCTTTATTGCTACACAAATTTTATTGATCTTACGTCTTATCCCAGTTCAGATGATGTCGAATTATTCAAACTTAGTTGGTAGGATTCGATTGACACCAAAGAGCACTTGGTAAACATGGCATTGGGTGCTACAAAGTGATCAGTCAATTATACATCATGTGTTAAGTCCTAAATATTGGCATTAGAAAGCCAAATATAGCAATAGAACAATAGTTCTGATATGATTAACTTACCCGTCATATGTTGAATTACTCATTATAGTAAAGGAAAAAGGTTTAATCTACTTGTTCGCAGCTAGGCTAGTGTTGGGATTTCGGTTTATTTCACTATGTGGTTATCATCACAGCTATAATGAAGAAAAGGGTTAATCAAGTATTAGGAGTATTACGCTTTCAAAACCGACTGACAGTAGCTTCTCTCAATTCCAACTTGAGGAATTTTTCTAATTTTAACAGTAGATAGTCCCTTAAGTTACTATGCATCCGCTGCTTTTCGTCGCTTAAGTGATTTCAGCGGAGAAGAAACAGCAGAGTACAGACTTACATGTATCACTCTGTAGACAAATTTTAGGTACGTCGAGCTAAAGGCTATTGGGCTCGTGACAGTCTGATGGTTGGGCCGAATTTCCTCCTAAATGTGTTTATAGAAGGTGCTATTACGTATGCATTTGACAGCCCTGTCGTCGTAGTATGATATTACATGGAAGTGCACATCAACAACTCTGCACACGGTAATGGGACTATTAATGTTCAGTCACACATGTAAACTCTTAACCTCTAGATAATTGAGTCGACATCCAACATTGTTAATGTCTAACTTCAACCAATCCATCATATTGCGAGACCTCCTACGATTGTATTCGGTGGATAACTGCCTCACACCCGACGACATGGTTGAACTTCAGTAGCCACAGCTTCTCACTAGAACTCCAAGACTTTCCTCATGAAGCTAGTCACCAATGAATATATGATAATCATCACTATAGGGTTGCGGAGATTGTTGAGTTTCATTGAAATCACAAATCACTCCTCACTTCGTTTGTTGATTATGACCTCAAAAACTTGGATAGTACTAGCCAACTTCTCTGTTTTTTTTGAGATTTAAGAGTTGTTATTGGTACTTAAAATTTATTGGGAAAATTAATGTAAGTTCGATAGGGAATAACAACATTACTATTTTGTTCAACTTCTTGTTCTTAATTTCTTCAAATAAATCATTTGCTTTTTGAGGCTCTAGTGTCCCATTTAGTAACGAGAGAACAATTTTCTGGCTCTGAATATGTGTAATTAACAATTTTTTCTATCAAAAATGCTCAGTATTATTGTGGATACTTTTCTATGTTTTATGAATAGATCATGATTCCACTTATCTTATACATAAACGATTTAATAAAAACTATCAAACCTAATACTATAGGTTCCATATTTCTTTAAATTGACCTGTTATTGTTTTATGCACGAGGTAGTAGATAGATCTCGAATTTCGAAAGTTGAAAAATGAATCAGTCTAACTAATATGGTATCTAAAATATTGGCCTCAATAATACTCCGATGCCTAACTGGAGCTCGTGAATAGCAGATTAGAGAAAACCAGGCTAGTTTTCGACATGGACGTGGATGTATAGACCAAATATTCACACTACGTCAGGTTGTAGAACAAAGGCACACGCTCAGACGCCCCACAATAGTAGTATTTCTCAACCATAAAGCAGTATTCGACTGTCTATTGTGGGGTTCTGTGGCAGTGTCTGTCATTAAAAGGTGTACCAAAGAAGTACCGTATACAAGCTCTCTACTCGAACACTACGGGTCGAGTGAGAGCTGATGGCGAACTGTCATCGGAATTCTTTACTTCAAGTGATTTCCGTCAGGGCTGTCCACTCTCTCCATTCTTGTTTAATTTTATCTTAGACATGCTCCTAGAAATAACCTTGTCCTCGTCTGAATTTTCAGGAGTAGACCTTTTACCTGCTGGCTCGCTTATTGACTTTGAATATGCTGATGACATAGTTCTATTCGGTGAAGACGCTGACAAAATGCAGAGTCTTCTGATTACCCTTAGAAACAATGCAAGCATGTTCGGGATGCGGTTCTCACCCCCAGAAATGCAAAATGTTGCTTCAAGATTGGGTCGCATCGCTACATGAACTAGTGATAGGGAGTGAAGTAGTTGAGCGTGTTGATCACTTCACTTATCTTGGTAGTCTCGTCAGCGCTGATGGCCTGGTGACTGACCGAATCTCGGCACGGATACAGGGAGCTCGACTGGCTTTTGCCAAGTTGCGTCACCTGCGGCGCAGGCGAGATATCTGTGTACTGTGCAGCAGTTCGCTCCGTCCTATACGAGTGCGAAACATGTCCGGTTAGAGTAGAGGACATTCGTAGGTTGCTTAGTCTCTTATTTTAAAAACCAATAACTACAGTGTAAGACTTTCAAACTCCAAAATTTGCATTTTTAGTTGCCTATGTGTTTCTAGGTATTATAAGAATTGAAGTAGATTCTAATAATCTTATCAGGTAAGTTTTGCATAAGAACAAGTAGTACAGTAGCTGGCGAAATATAATTTAGAAATAGGAACTACATTGTGGTGCTAACGACCATTCCTGAGCAGTATATTGATCACTGTCTAATCAGATGAAAGTTATGTCTCAACTGAGCTCAGTGAAATCTGTGCGTAACCACATTTCTCTATCTAAACGCGATCATTGGTACAAAAGAACAGAAATATTTATGCGGCACTCAAATTATTGAATTTATACGTGCTCACAACTGCCCAGGGTCTCAAACCCTCGGCGGGTGGTTTTCCTAAGGAACCACTCCCCCAGCATTCAACCTACATCTCAAATCAACAAGGCAACGGGACAATGGTAGGAGATGCGGTCCCATGGCAGACAGGGATCGACAATAGGTTCATAGCCCATTTGTACTCTTAGGACCCTGGAGCCACTCTTCGGTTACCCGCGATCTCTAGTCATCCTGAATGGCAAATCGACGTAAGTCCCCCTAGTCTTAATGACGTTGAGAAAGCGTTAGGAAATCTGTAACGAGGACGAGCTGCAGGTCCTGATAGACTGACCCCTGAAATATTTAAGGATGGTGGTCCAGCTTTGGCAGCTAGGTTGACTGAGATCTTAGGTAGAATCTGGGAACTGGACGTAATCCCATCCGACTGGTCTCAATCACTGATTGTCCCAATCTATAAGAAAGGACAGAAGTCTTGTGACAATCACAGAGGAATAAGTCTAACTAATATAGTATCTAAAATATTGGCCTCAATAATACTTCGACGCTTAACGAAAGCTCGTGAAGAGCAGACTCGAGAAAACCAGGCTGGCTTTCGACCTGGACGTGGTTGTATAGACCACATCTTCACACTACGACAGGTCCTGGAACACAGACACACATTTGGGCGTCCTACAATAGTTGTTTTCCTGGACCTTAAGGCGGCATTCGATTCAGTGGATCGTGAGGTTCCGTGGCAGTGTCTGTCATTGAAAGGTGTACCAAAAAAAGTACATTAACCTCATACAAGCTCTCTACTCAAACACTACTGGTCGAGTGAGAGCTTATGGCGAACTGTCAACGGAATTCTTTACTTCAAGTGGTGTCCGTCAGGGATGTCCACTTTCTCCATTCTTGTTTAATTTTATCATAGACATGCTCCTAGATCGAACCTTATCGTCGTCTGAATTTTCAGGAGTAGACCTTTTACCAGATGGCCCGCTTATTGACTTAGAATATGCCGATGACATTGTCCTTCTTGGTGAAGACGCTGACAAAATGCAGAGTCTTCTGACTGCCCTTAGCAACAATGTAAGCATGTTCGGGATGCGGTTTTCCTCCTCGAAATGCAAAATGTTGCTTCAAGATTGGGTTTCATCGGCACCTGAACTAGTGATAGGGAGTGAAGTAGTCAAGCGTGTGGATCACTTCATTATCTGGGGAGTCTCATCAGTGCTGATAGCCTGGTGACTGACGAAATCTCAGCGCGGATACAGAAGGCTCGATTGGCTTTTGCCAACTTGCGTCACTTATGGCGTAGGCGAGATATCCGTTTGTTGACTAAAGGACGAGTGTACTGCACAGTAGTTCGTTCCGTCCTCCTATATGGTTGTGAAACATGGCCAGTGGGAGTAGAAGATGTTCGTCGGTTACTAGTATTTGATCTTAGAAGCATTGCTCGTATATCGTGGGACAGCCGAGTAAGCAATGCTGTCGTTAGGAAACGAGTACTAGGTAAGGATGGCAGATCAATAGATGAAGTGGTGGAACTTCATCAGTTGAGGTGGTTGGGACATGTGTTGCGTATGCCTAACCACCGACTGCCTCGACGAGCTATGTTTTGTAGTGTAGGAGTAGGTTGGAAGAAAGCTAGGGGCGGTCAAACCAAAACATGGCACAAATCCATGAAGTCTCTGACAAGTGGACTTAGCCATGTCGGTAATTGTCGACTACCTGGTTGGGGTGCGCGAGATGATAATAATCGATGGTTAGAGACCTTGAATGACATGGCTCAAAATCGTTTGCAATGGCGCAGATGCATCCACCGGTTGTGTTCTCTGAAATTCTAATCTTCTGTATTCGTCATCATCTTTATCTTTCTCTTTCTGAATTTATATCTCACTGAATTATACTTCTTAAATAATATCTTTTAATCCTAACCTCTTCGATTACTTCTAATACCTTTACCACCTCTTCTACTATTGGATTTGAATTGACAATTACATCTCTGTGCTGATGTGCTATGGCAACATGAAGTGATGTACTTAAGTACGAAGTTCTGCGTTCCATCTGACTGACTGACTGTCAAATGCATCCAGGTTTTCAGTGATGGTCTGAAATCAATCGGTTAAACTGAGTTCCTAAGTCTCGTGAACCATCTAGTCAGAATTCGGTTGCTCATTTGCACAATAGCATCACTTTTGGCTTTGTTTAATTAAATTCACTAGAATTTCCTTTCATTTTATCTGACATCCATTATTTGAACTGTAATTGATTTCATTAACTATATAGTTTCACTTTGTACTCTATTATCTGTGTATTTTTTTTTTTGGGACTACCTATCTTATGATATAACATATACACACGTACGTACGTACGTACGTATAAATGTGATCTGTGTCTGTACTTAGTCCTATTTTTCTATCCCTTTTTATTATAATATTTTCATCAATGAGTGAGAAAATAGAGTTATCCGCTAAAAAATCAATAATAAACAATTTTTCATCTCCTCTTCATCGTTCACATCATATTACTCTAAAAGTCTATATATATGAACGAACATTTAAAGTAATAAGTTATTCTATTTGCTTCTGTCATTCTGATTATATTTTACAGAAGTGATATTTATTCACTACCTGTTAAAGTTTCTCGATAAATAGGAAAATCAATTTTTTATGGAATTAGTTGTCTATGTGTATGTGTACGCATGAACCAGAAAAATTAGTTAAATGAATTTATGCATCATTTTACATAGTAAGTAGGTTTATGATAATAGTTTTAAATTACCATAGTATGCCAAGTTAGGCAAGGTGAAGGGGAAGCCAATGATGAGTAGTGATATGCTTGAATGCTATTACGAGTTGTTCACCTTACTCGGTAAATGGAACGCGAAGATCAACAATGCAGTGACACACGATAGACTATGCTAATTCGATTGTCCCTAGCCCTGCTAAGAAGTCTTGATAATAAGGAGTAGAGAGAATGTATTATACAAGCACCTAGAAAATTCGAGGTTGTTGAGCACATTGATAGGAACGCCTTTTAGAGAAGAGCCACAAAAAAGCGTACTAAAATAATCCATCAATCAATGACAGTCGAGGATTTCCGAGTGGGAAATGTAAGTTGTGTAGGTCAACTAAGCGTCTCTTGGTGCGAAAACATAAAATGACAAAATTAGGACATTTTCCCAAATGAGTTCTGGGGATCTAACATCTCCAACAATGAGTAACCTGTATTCCAACCAATTTAATCTGCTGATGCTGTTTACATTCTCATCGATTGGTTTATACAATCTTCACTTAAACTATTTTGTTTTGATATAATAAACTTTATTACTCTTATTAGTCGTTGATAAGCGAGAAATACTTAAAACATACTTGATCATCAATTACTTACAATGTACACATACTTTCTCTTGTTAAAATGGCCTTGTTTCATCGCCATGAAATAATAGTACAAGTGAATAGAATATTCACTATTCATTTGTCAATTGACTATTTCGACCTGTGTACGAAGTCACTGACTAGTGTACTGAGTCATGTTGGTAGATGTAGACTACCTGGTTGGGGTCCGCGAGACGAAAGTCACCAATGGTTAGAGACCTTGAACGACATGGCTCAAAATCGTTTGCAATGGCGCAGGTGCATCCATTCTTTGTGTTCTCTCAAATCCTAATCATCTGGAATCGTCAGCACCTCTACCTTTGTCTTTCTAGAGTTTTTGTCACTGAATTATATACTTGTTGAATAATATCTTCAAACCCTAGTCTTCTTCATTAGTACCATTAATACCTCTACTATCTTTATCACTATGGGATTTGGATTTAACGTTTGCGTCTCTTTGCTAATGTTGTGGTATGGCAACATGAACTTATGTACATACGTACGAAGTTCTACGTTGCAACTGACTGACTGACTGACTGACTTTATTACTGCACAATAAACAACGCTACAACTGGTAACTTGTAATTTTCTTTTTCTGTAAAAAGAAAAAAAAACATTTTGACAGTAGTATATCTTAAAATGAGTTTAATCTAAAAATATTTATCATTATTATTTTTGAAAATATTCTAACAGCGTCAATGGGGCAATATTTCAGTAGATGAACCATTAGATATTCAACCATATACATTTAATTTGGCACGTGAATGTTTGGCTTCTGCAATTTTGACGGTGGATTTCAATAATAAAAAAATGTAAGTAGTAGTAAAATAATGTTTTATTTAGAAAAAAATTTACTCTGTCAAAGCACTAAAGAGTAGCTCATTGTGTCATTGAGAGAAAAAATATAAAAAAAATGTTCAAATGAGGTGATTGGGACATGTATTACGTATGCCCGACCACTGACTGCCTCGACCAGTTATGTTTTGTGGTGTAGGAGTAGGTTGAAAGAAAACTAAGGTCGGCCATACCAAAATATCGCAGAAATCTATGAAGTTACTGACAAGTGAACTGAAGATGTAGGTTGTGTTCTCTCGAATTCTAAGCTTCTGAATTCCTCATCACCTCTGTCTTTCTCTCTCTAAAGTTATCTTACTGAATTGTACTTCTTGAATCATATATTCGAATCCTAATCTTCTTCATTACTGCTAATGGTTTTGCTATCTCTGCCACTATTGGATTTGAACTGACAGTCGCGTCTCTATGCTAATGCGGTAATGGTGACCTGAACTTATCTACATACGTACGTACGAAGTTCTACATTATGTCTGACTGACTTACTGACATATACAAACTAATCGTTTTGAATTGTATTGTATTTTGACCCAGTAAAGTGGATTTGCAGACTATTAGTAGTAGTGGTAGTAGCGGTTAAGCTTTCAAAATAGCCATCAACGCATTCAGTGCAGATAAGGAGGAGGATAATCGATGTAATTTACGAGGTGCCATATTTCTGTATATTCTCCTGGAATTAAATTAGTTCACTTTCATATCTCTTCTCTTTAAATTTGTTGATATTTCAACATATCCCTCTAGATCAATCAATGAACCATTGGATTCAGATCGAATGGCTGTAGAATTCAGTATGCAATTTACAGATACACCATTAACTGTTGGTCAACTTATTCATTATCGTTTTAATAAGTTAACATTGCTTGTTAAAGTGAAAGAATTATCAAGTAAGTATTAGCACGCACACACATACACCACTTGCTCCATATTTTGTGTTTGGAAATGGAGTTTTTATGATCATCAATCTCTTAGATTTTATTTGTAACCATGAATCGATCAATGTCAGACCAGCACTATTAGAAACCTGGAAGCACTGGACGGCCGTTTCGTCCTGGTATGGGACTCATCAGCAGTGCGCATCCACGACTCCCGAGGAGTCCCATACCAGGACGAAACGGCCGTCCAGTGCTTCCAGGTTTCTAATGGTGGTCTAACATTTGAAATCAGGATTCGAACCCAGGACCTTCGGTATTGTGCGCGAACGCCCTAACCGTTAGACCACTGAGCCGGTATCTAACGGTGTTAATGTCTAACCTGATCAAATCCACGGAATTGCGCGACCTCATACCCTGTATACATCCGAACAGGTTTGAACTTCACTGGTCATGACTTCCCACTAGAACTCGGAGAAGATTTTGTCATACTACGTGAATACTTGTTGTTGTTGTTATAATTCGCTCTTTATTATTACAATCCAGCTATTCTGACACCGATTCACTCGAAATGTTCCCCCCAAAATCAAAACATGGTTGAACAGGAAAAGAGATTATATTCCAACAACAAGGTTAAATGGTTGTAGGAAGTGTAAAAGGAAAGAACGTTAGTTTATTTATTAATAGTTTTTAACATGAGAAGACTCTAGAATGCTTCCCCAGTATCAACAAGCGCTGATTGGATACGAAAGAGTCAATTAGCGTGCAACAGTGCAATCGTGTATGGAACATGTGCTTTATTCGAATTTGTGTCCCGCTAACTTATGTACATACGTACGAAGTTCTACGTTGCAACTGACTGAATGTGTCCCGCTAACACTTGTATTAACTGATTGTGTATTGATAAAAGTTGCGGCAATTTCAACACTTAGTTTTAACTCAATGTTTATATGGTTTTGTACAGTGAAATTTCACTTTATAAAAGATTCTAACTAGGATTGTTCACTGTGACTCTCATAAATTTTCTCTCCATGTTTATTCGGTTTTTTTTGTCTAAATGTATTTATTCAATTAGGACTTTATGACTGAACACTTTTGGATGTCCAAACAAAATGCTTATCGATCGATGATAATATGCACCAGTGATTATGATGTAGTCAGTCGTGTGATGATCGTTTAGAGATTGAATTAACCAACCAACCGACTGACCGGCTGGTGAGTGATCATTCTCAAGGAGAGATTGAGTCGAATCGAGAGAACAGTGAAGTGGAGAGAAGAGGAGAACGAATGCTAGACCGACTGACAGGTCAGCAAATAGATCGATGTGTAGATGGATAGACAGACAGAGAGATAGTTAGGCAAGCAGGTAGTCCGGTCAACTGGCAGGCACGTAGAAACACAGACACCGATTCGCAGATACGGTCGAACAGAGTGTCGTGCAATCTGTATGGCGAGAATGATGCAGTGTGCGTGTGTGTGACCGTGTACTGGAGACAAATCTCCACTGAGTGAGTGTTGGTCGGAGTGATGCAGGAAAGATAGTGGTTGGGCAGTGAGTGTGTGCGTGTGCGTGTGTGACTGTGCGAGAGAGTGTGGAGTGTGACGTGGCGTTTGTTGTGTTGAGTATGGTGATTGAGACGGTGTTGTGCGAGTGAATGTGCATGTCGATGTGACTGATCCTGTGTGTAGTGTGTGTGTTGTAGTGTTGAGGAGGGTGATAGGTGCGACTCGCTAGTCGAGCCCGGTTAGCTCAGTCGGTAGAGCATCAAACTTTTAATCTGAGGGTCGGGGGTCCGAGCCCCCCATCGGGCGCCAAGCCTTTTGACCAGACACTACTCACACTCCTTAATGATTTGATGTTAAGTGACAAGATTATTAACCAGAACAAATTGCTTTCATATTGCAAATTATTAACAGCAAAATTAAAAATGTTTAAATAGCCTAGGAAATTGGAGAAAATCAAACGTGCAATCCTGTTGCACTCAAATTAATTCAAACATTGTATGTTATACTGGCAAACTAACTGCACATATAAATTTAAATAATTTTACGCTCTAAATAGTCCGAAAACAGTCTTTTTTTAAAAGTTGGCTCAAGATCAACATCATCAAAGAGGATACCACGTTAACATTGAGCTGTTCAGAATGCTGTCGCTTCCTGTTGGGTTGTCATATTTACACTCACGGATCACAGTTTACCTGATAGTTTGTGATTTATTGAAAGATAATCAGAAGTGTGTAAGATGACCAGTAAGAGTGGAGGACATTCATAGGTTACTAGTATTCGATCATAGGTGTCTCCGAAGCATTGCTCGTATATCCTGAGACCATTGAGTAGGCAATTCTGTCGTTAGGAATCGAGTACTAGGTAAGGATGGCAAATCAATAATAGATGAAGTAGTGAGACTTCATCAGTTGAGGTGGTTAGGACATGTGTTACGAATGCCCAACCACCGACTGCCTCGACCAGCGATGTTTTGTGGTATCGGAGTAGGTTGGAAGGAACCTAGGGTCGACCAAACCAAAACATGGCAGAAATCCATGAAATCACTGTCAAGTGGACTGAGTGATGTTGGTAGATGTATGCTACCTAGTTAGGTTCCGCGAGCCGATGGTTAGAGACCCTGAACGACATGGCTCAAAATCATTTGCAACGGCGCAGGTGCATCCATTCTTTATGTTCTCTCAAATTATAATCCTTATATAATTCTTATTTCAGTTTTGTGTTTATATTCATTGTTGTTATGTGTTTATTTTGAAGCTTTGTCAATGGATGGTGGAGATGGCGGTAATAGTACAGTAAGTCTATTTAACATAGCATACTGTTTTTTTTTTGTTTACTTATCCTAATGTGTAACGAATGTTTCGCAGAAATAATTATGAAATATAACACCTATTGAGGGGGGGGGTAGTAATTAAATGTCGTCAAGTAATTTTTAAGAGGATTCAAACACTACTTCATCAGTTGCTCATTATTATTAACTATATAAATAGCATTCGTTTCATATGTCTCTGTTAAGTTCGTCACTGAGTATGCTTGAGGCTACTATTACGAGTTTACCTTAGTCGATAAACGAGAACGAGACTTTTACCAGCGTCCAGGTAGGCTACCTTCAATCCCAAGCTGAAGTAAAAAGGCTTTGTAAGCGTAGAAAGTATATTCTACAAACACCCAGCAATCACACAATACAATCAAGCATACAACTCTCGTTTATTTATACATCATAGAAACGTCCTAGTGGGACAGTTAAGGAAATAGCACACTAAAATGCACAGCAGCCAATCACACAGCCATGGATTTTCCTGGTGGGAATTGAAATCTCAAGGTCAACTGATCAGTCCATGCTGGCAAAAGTGAAATCCGAAATAAGGCATTTAACAAGCGAGTTTTGGGTATCTAACATCCCGAACAGTCTCCAAGCAAGAAAAATGCCTCATGTATTTTGAAAGTTCTGTTAACCGTGTTGTGTCGGTGTGTTATGATGTGCAGTGTTCCCAGATCTAAACGTCATACACACGCTAACCATCAGACTGGTTAATTAAGCGAAAGTGGTAGAGTGGTAGAAAAAGTCTGTTTGGCTGACAGATCATATACTCAAATACTCGTCGATATGCATTCGTCCTTTGGAATTTTTGCTGATAGTTATCAAATGGTCTTCTCCCTCCCTTATGTCCACTTCTAATTAACTCACTCTGTTGCAGTGTATGATGAAATCTTGATAGAGAATTCAAACGATCGGGTTGCAGCAGGGTTGTTTTCTTAGGGTCTCGTGTAGTATAGGCAAACTATCATCCGTCTGCTAATCAATCAAAAGGCGAGTATACTGTTGTTCACCGGTCCTCTTTGTATTTGGTTTAACATTTCATGTAAAAATATGACCTGGCTCTTCTATCGCACACGCAACAACAAATGCAAGAGAAGACGACCAGTGTAGCAGCAGCCTCTGCAGCAGTAGGTCTCAACATACATAAAGGAAAAGGCGAAATTCTCCGATGCAACACAACATGCACCAACCAAATCACTCTTGATGGAGATGCCTTGGAGGACATTAACACCTTTACATATCTGGGCAGCATCATCGACAATCAAGGTGGATCCGATGCAGATGTGAGGGCGCGGATTGGCAAAGCAACGGCTGCATTTCTACAATTGAAAAATATCTACAACTTCAAACAACTTTCAACCAAAACCAAAATCAGGATTTTCAATACAAATGTCAAGACAGTTCTACTGTATGGAGCGGAAACATGGAGAACTACGAAAGGCATCATCCAGAAGATACAAGTGTTGATTAACAGTTGTCTACGCAAAATACTTCGGATTCGTCGGCCAGACACGACCAGCAACAACCTACTGAGGAAGAAATCTGAAAGAAGTGGTAGAAATGGGTACGATACACACTGCGTAAAGCACCCAACCGCGTCACGAGACAAGCCCTCACTTGGAACCCTCAATGTAACAGGAAAAGTGGAAGGCTAAGGAACACATTACGCCTAGAAATGAGGTCAAACACGAATTCGGATTCGTCAGCCAGACACCATCAGCAACAACGTACTGTGGAAGAGAACAAACCAGATTCCAGTGGAGTAGGAAATCAGGAAGAAGCGGTGGAAGTGGATAGGACACATACTCTGCGAAAAGCACCTAACCGCATCACAAGACAAGGCCTCACTTTTGGAACCCTCAGGGTCAAAGGAAAAGAGGAAGGCCAAGGAACACACTACGCCGAGAAATAGAGAAAGATATGAGAGGAATGAACAAACATTGGACAGAACTGGAGAGGGAAGCCCAGGACAGACAGAGTTGGTTGGAGAAAACTGGTGGGCGGCCTATGCTCCTCCATTGGGTGTAACAGGCGTAAGTAAGTAAGAATAAAGCCTGATGTCTTTATAAAAAGTTTTAATGCTGCTTAAGATTTATCGTTATCTATATATTTTGAAAGAAATTAATCTAACTATCTGTCTACATTATTATTATTCTTATCATTATTATTATTAAATAGATTGGCATGTTAACTGGGAATTCAGTGATTCGTTGGATTACTCAACCAGATTCTAAATTATTATTAATTGGTAAAGCTGTTTTAGATGGTGATGGAACAGGTTCTATGTCAGGCGGTAGTGGTGGCTATCATAGTATAATTAATCCAAATTGGGATTTTAATCAAATGGGTATTGGTGGATTGGATAAAGAATTTTCAGCTATATTTCGACGAACATTTGCATCACGAATGTTTCCACCAGCAGTTGCAAAACAGTTAGGTCTGTATGATATTTTGTACCGGAATAATTAATTTTTAAAATTGTTAATCTGAATAAGACAGACAGACAGGTACAACACAGCACTTCATACGCACGTGTACATCAGTTCAGGTTGCCATACCGCGCATTAGTACAGAGACGCAAATGTCAGCTCAAATCCCATAGTGGTAGAGATAGTAGGAGTATTAGCAGTAATGGAGAAGATTAGGATTCGAATATATGATTCAAGTACAATTCAGTAAGATAACTTTAGAGAGAGAAAGATAGAGATGATGAAGAATTCAGAAGATTAGAATTTGAGAGAACACAAAGAGTGTATAAAGGCAAAGTGTTAATGCATTTACTCGACTGTTACCGACCGATGTTGATCCATAGTACGCTACTTCGCTAACCATCGTTACTCTACTGATATCACACTTACCAACAACCTACATTAACTTTAAGGAGTGATGTTTGACAACGTTTAACTTTCTTCCGATTTTTACTTTCATAAAGATTAGTTCAAAAGTCAGTACTCGGATCACTTAATTACTAATTTTTTTTATAGTTCACTGATTTTACCCTGGTTATTTTAATTACTCCTTTGCATTTTCTTAAAATCAATAATAGTCTTTGGCATTTTATTATATCTCTTTATCCTGTGTTACGTTTTTTATTTTATTAAATTTGAATCTACTTCCTTTACTATGATAATAATAATAATAATCTCTTCTAAGTAAACTTTAAAATAAGTTCAAGGGAAACAATTTTAACGAATGTTCACGGTGATAATCATTTTAATAAACGTAGGATTTTTATTAAGATAATATGATGATAGATGTTTTATTTTATTTTTTTTCATTCAAAATTGTTGATACAGTCGAGAAAATCATCATATTCTATTGTGCAAAAATATATACTAAGATGGGTGTTATTAGGATGTGATTTTACTATATTTGCGAATTGACTGAAGTCTCAAAGTTATAGACAGATAGACAGATACAACGCAGAACTTCGTACGTAAGTACATCTGTTCGGGTTGCCCCATGCCTCATCAGCACAGAGACGCAACTGTCAGTTCAAACCCGAGTGATAGTAATAATAGAAGTATCAGCAGTCTGATCCCGACCGTAGCTGCTACCTTGACGTGGTGGTCGGGCTTGACTATCGTGATGACCCAGCCAAGCTATACTGGCTGGAACATATGTTCATGCAGGCTGCCAGGCAGGTCGATTGGAGAACGGTGAGACTAAAAGTAGCTACCCGAGGTCTGAGGGCGAAGTCGTACTGCTGACTGACTGTGGAGGGGTGTGACAGCAGTAAGGTGTTTCCGTCGGATAACCAGCATCTGCAGCGATGCTGCCTTCTCACAAGGAAGGAAGGGTTAGAAAAGGTCGACCGTAAAAATGTCACACCTCCCCTAACTCACGGATTTCCGTCTCCGGCGGTAAGCGTGCCCACTAAGAGCTTTCAAGAGCGGAGCTAATACTCAAAAAACCCTTCAACAGAAAGGCTATGCGTGACCGGCCTGAAGCAGTTGTCCTTTGAGCTCTGCGGTCACGCACACAGGTCTCTAAAACCAACACTAATCTATCTTCCTTTTCAGGTCCCTCAAGAAACAACCTTCCACGGTGTGGGCAGCCGGAAAGTGATAACCGCCCTCATACTCGTAACAGCACACGAGACCAAATTGGTCAAAATCAAATCCTTCCTACACCTCCTAGTACCTCTCTTATCTCCACGACAAACTCTTCTCATATTCCTTTATCACACTGCACCGCTAATGCAAACAATGCGAGTTCAGGAAGTCAAAGTTATTGGTTATTCATTAACCCATCGATCTAAAGATTCAATCATGAAATTCATTGATTCATTGTTTCCGATTGTAACAGTCTGATTATATCCATCGGTCGTCTACTATCCATTTTCCCTGGTCTAATAAATATATATTCGCCCCATTCTTTTCACTCACAATAAGTGCTATGTATTGGGTTGGGATCTTATTGAATAGCAGTGAGTGATAGTTTATCCATTCGGGGAAAATCTATTTACATATAAGTTGTGAGCGATCCAAGGTTTTTTACACCATCTTGCAAAAAGATATATCTTTTTTGTCCTGATATCTGATAGTTATAGTTTTTATCGCACATAGATTGTAGGCTCTCTGTACAGTGGGCGAATTCGTGCTGCTGACTGTAGAGGGGTGTGACATCAATAAGGTGTTTCTCTCAGACAACCAGCATCTACAGCGATGCTGTCTTCTCACAAACAAGGAAGGGATTAGAAAAGGTCAATCCTAAAAATGTCACACCTCACCTTACCTCACGGGTTTCCGTCTCCGGTGGTTAGGCTATTTAAAAAGAACGGAGCTAACACTTTAAAAACTTCTTATGAAAAGGCTGTGCGTGACCAGCCTCAAGCAGTTTTCCCTTGGATTCTGCGGTCACGCTTCCAGGTCTCTGAGACCAACGCTAATCTACCTTCTTCAAAGAACACCCTTCCAGGGTATGGGCAGTCTGGAAGTGACACACGCCCTCCTACTTGTCACAGCACACGAGACCGAATCGGTCACAATCAAATCCATCCTACAACCCCTAACATCTCTCTCATCTCCACATCTCACCTTTCTCACATCCCTTTAGCGCCTTGCACTGCTAAAGCGAGCGATTCGATCTCACGAAACGTCGTTATTCATGGTCTCCTGAAAGGTGATTGTGTCGTGTTCTACTATTCTTCAACTGAAATAACGTTTTCGTGTTTATAGATTTTTTTTCAAACAAAACAAACAACCTTCAAATAATGCCAAAATTACTTTTCTTATTTTTTTTAGGTTTAAAACATGTTCGTGGCATATTGCTGTATGGTCCACCTGGTACCGGGAAAACATTAATGGCACGACAAATTGGTAAAATGCTTAATGCACGTGAACCAAAAATTGTCAATGGTCCTAGTATATTAGATAAATATGTTGGTGAATCCGAAGCGAATATTCGTAAATTATTCGCTGAAGCTGAAGAAGAAGAGAAACGTATGGGTGCAAAATCTGCATTACATATTATTATTTTCGATGAAATTGATGCGATTTGTAAATCACGTGGATCTACAGTGAGTATAGCACCATAGTTGTTCATTTATTGTGTAGTATTTTACTGTTTTATTTGTTTGTTTTTTTACACATTTGAAATCAACAATCAATCAATGATTGTTAGACCACACCTTTAAAAACCTGGAAGCACAGAGAGACGGCCGTTTCGTCCTTGTATGGGACTGACTCATCAGTGGCAGTGCGCATCCACGACTCCTGCACCTCGCAGGGTTCGAATCCGGGACCTTCGGGTATTGTGCGTGAAGAACGTCTAAGCATCGGACCACTGGGCCAGCATCCAACGGTGTTAATGTCTAACTGTGATGCATGTAAAATGTTGCTTCAAGACTGAGTTGCATCGGTACCTCAACTGTTGATAGGGAGTGAAGTAGTCGAGCGTGTTGATCGCTTCACTTATTTGGGAAGTCTCGTCGGCGCTGATGGCCTGGTGACTGACGAGATCTCAGCTCGGATACAGAAGGCTCGATTGGCATTTGCCAATCTGCGTCACTTATGGCGTAGGCATGATATCCGTTTGCTAACCAACGGACGAGTGTACTGCGCAGCAGTTCGCTGCGTTCTCCTATTTGGATGCGAAACATGGCCGTTAAGAGTAGATGTTCGTAGGTTACTAGTATTCGATCATAGATGTCTGAGAATAATTGCTCGTATATTGTGGAACAACCGAGTAAGCAATGTTGTTGTTAGGAAACGAGTACTAGATAAGAATGGCAGATCAATAGATGAAGTGCTGAAACTTCATCAATTGAGGTGGTTTGCAATGGCGCAAGTGCATCCATTCGTTATGTTCTCTCAAATCCTAATCTTCTGGAATCGTCAGCACCTCTACCTTTGTCTTTCTAAACGTTTCTCATTGAATCATACTTCTTGAATAATATCTTCAAACCCTAGTCTTCTTCATTACCATTAATACCTCTATTATCTTTATCACTATGGGGTTTGGATTTGACATTTGCGTCTCTGTGCTAATGTTGTGGTATGGCAACGTGAACTTATGTACATACGTACGTAGTTCTACGTTGCAACTGACTGACTGACTAACTCTGATGCGCACTGCTGATGAATCCCATACCAGGACGAAACGGCCGTCTTTCAGTGCTTCCAGGTTTCTAATGGTGTGGTCTAACAATGACTCGTTGATTGATGCTTTCAAATGTGTAAAAAAGCAAAGACAAAACCTCCAAAACTCTGCCCGAAAATTTCTGTTTTTATCATTTTATTGATGCTCTAACTAGTGATAGTAAAACTCTGTCATTTATCAAAATGCATGTAAATGTGATTCAGGTAATAAGCATCTTTTAATTTCGTTCATGACTTGTTTTTTTGGTTGTAATCAATAGTTACAGGGGGAGATCTTAGAAGGTTATATCCAATTATTCATTAATTTCTATAAGTTTTATAGCAAAACACTCTCAGTCAATCAGTTACATTGCAGAACTTCGTACGTGTACGTACATTAGTTCAAGTTTCCATACCGAATCAGCACAGAGACGCAATTGTCAATTCAGATCTCACAGTAGTAGAGGTAGTAGAAGTATTAGCAGTAATGGGAGAGATTATGGTTCGAAGAGATTATTGAATAATATTTCTGGCTGGTCGTGGTGGCGTGCGCCTATAATCTAGCTACTTGGAGGCTAGGGTGTGGGATCTCGCGGGACTGTGAGTTCTGGGCATGTGGGGGCTCATGTTGATCGCGTGTTCACGCCATGCACGGTCCCGATATGGTTAATCTATCGAAGGGTGGGTTGTTCAGGTCGTCTAAAGAGGGGCGAGTCGGGCTAGGGAGGAAATCCGGCAATCGAAAGGCACGACGAATGTAACAATAACACAATCAAGATGAACTTCACATAATAAGTAGCTTCATTTATTCCCTTTTTTTACAAAAAATAATGTAAATGAAACTTCAACAAAACTGTCACTCGCCTCTAACTGATTGTCGATCTACTAAAATAATTCAGGTCGCCTGTTTTCCGACGATCTGAATCATGCATGCAATAAATTCTAATTTTGTTTGTGATTGACTCTGAGTCCATTACTGGTGGTGAATCGCATTAGGGAAAAATTGTTACGTAATACTCTTATCACACTCTACTTAATTTATGAGTCAATCACGGATCGTCAATGTTGGCTCGTCGCGCGACTCCATCAGCTATGGAACCGAAGACTTTCAAATTTTCACACTACTCGTTTAGTTAGTTGTGGAAACTGTTAAGTTGGTCTTCTTCAATAGTACAATTTTAAATTTGATCAAGTTGTGCGATGTAGCTCGACGATCATCTAGTACAATCAATGATGAATACCATTAATCTCTGCAGATACTCTGTTCAGATCAATTCGTCGCAAAAATTCATCGTCTTCAATAAATTATCTTATTGAATCATAACTATGTCCATGATTTATTTCTCTTCCTCTTTTCCATTAGGGTGGAGGTGCTGGTGTACATGATACTGTAGTCAATCAACTATTAACTAATATGGATGGAGTGAATCAATTGAATAATATTCTTGTCATTGGTATGACTAATCGACGTGATATGATAGATGAAGCACTATTAAGACCTGGACGTTTTGAGGTGAGATTGGGGTATTTTGTTTTTCTGTTTTAAATTGTCTACTGCTATGATGACCATGCTTTGTGCATTCACATATAGATGGGATTGAGTCCCGAGTTCGGAAATCCGGATTTAATAAAACAACTGTATCGGGGATGTTAGATCCCTAGAACTTACTTGATAATGGTCCTAATTTCGGATTGTATGTTTTAGCGCAGTGGCTGATCAGTTGACCATCCTGAGATTACAATTCCCACCTGGAAAATCCTTGTCTGTTATTGTTGGTTGATATATTATTTTAGTACACTAATTTTGTGTCTCTCCCAAAGACTCAATTTGTTTGCTTGTTAACCTCATATTTTTTTTGCGTGCTTGTACAATACACTCTCTATTTCTTGTCAAGACTTCTTCCTCTACTTAGTGTGGGGCCTTGGGACGCTTGGATTAGAGAGTAGCCTATCATGTCACTGGATCATTTTGTCTTCGCTCTACGTTTACCGACTAAAGTGAACACTCGTAATAGTTTGAAGCATATCAAACTGTTAACCCACTTGTTGAATATTCAGTCAGTCAGTCAGATGCAACGCAGAACTTCGTACGTAAGTACATCAGTTCATGTCGCCATACCATATCAGCACACAAATGTAATTGTCAATTCAAATCCAATAGTACTAGAGGTAGTAGAAGTAATCGGAGAGGTTAGGATTAGAAGATATTATTCAAGAAGTTTGATTCAGTGACAAAAGTTTAGAAAGTCGAAACTATAGGTGTTGAAGAATTCAGAAGCTTAGGATTTGAGAGAACACAAAGCATAAATGCACCGGCGCCATTGCGAACGATTTTGAGCCATGTCAGTCAAGGTCTCTAACCATCGATTATTATCATCTCGCGGACCCCAACCAGGTAGTCGACAATTACCAACATGGCTCAGTCCACTTGTCAATGATTTCATGGATTTGTGCCATGTTTTTGTTTTTGGGGAACTGCTGTTATACTCTGGTCATGAAGAGGAAAATGCTTCACATACACAAGGAGTTGCACTGATGCTGTCCAAACATGCACAAAAGGCACTGTTAGGATGGGAATCTCATGGACCAAGGATCATTAAAGCATCCTTCAAAACAAAGAAAGAGGACATTACAATGAACGTCATCCAATACTATGCACCTACCAACGACTACAATGACGACGTTAAAGACCAATTCTACGGAAGGCTGCAGCATCATCGACGAGAAGTTCGATCCGATGCAAATGTGAGGGCGCCGATTGGCAAAGCAAGTAAAGCATTTCTACAGTAAAAAATATCTGGAACTCCAAACAACTTTCGACCGAAACCAAAATCAGGATTTTCAATACAAATGTCAAGACAGTTCTACTATATGGAGCGGAAACTTGGAGAACTACGAAAGGCGTCATCCAGAAGATACAAGTGTTTATTAACAGTTGTCTACGCAAAATACTTCAGATTCGTTTGGCCAGACACGATCAGTAACAACGTACTGTGAGAGAGAACAAACCAGATTCCAGTTGAGGATGAAATCAGGAAGAAGTGGTGGAAGTGGATAGGACACACATTACGAAAAGCACATAACTGCGTCACGGGACAAGCCCTCATTTGGAACCCTCAAGGCGAAAAGAAAAGAGGCAGGTCAAGGAACACATTACGCCGAGAGATGATGACAAACAAGAGAAGAATGAACGAAAATTGTACAGAACTGGAATGGTGAGGTCCAGGACAGAGTTGGATTTGTGCCATGTTTTTGTTTGGCCGCCCCTAACTTTCTTCCAACCTACTCGTACACTACAAAACAAAGCTCTTCGAGGCAGTCGGTGGTCGGGCATTCGTAACACATGTCCCAATCACCTCAACTGATGAAGATTCAATACTTCATCTATTGATCTGCCATCTTTACTTAAGACTCCTAACGACAGCATTGCTTATCCGGTTTCCACAATGTTACAGAATTAGGGTTATATTTGGATGTACGTATTGTAATGGGATAAAGCTTAACACTGCTGAGGAGTCCCATACCAGGACGAAATGGCCGTCTTTCAGTGCTTCTTCCAGGTTTCTAATGCGGTGATCTAACATTGATCGATTCATGGTTTCAAAAATCTGTAACTTAACAATCTTCACAACCCCGTAATGTAAATGAAATATTACTGATAATCTATTTTTTATTTTATTTTCAAATATGGGATTCAATAAACGCATCACGTACACACACACACACAATATCCATCAATTTTCCTACCTGCTTCCTCCAAATCTAAGCATGAATCAATAATTTCCATTGGCTACTGTTTGTTTGTCTGTTGTTGTATATAGTAGTCATCACATAATTCATGTAAAAATGATACATGCATAAAGAAAATTTGCTACCAAACAACAGTTCATGAAGAATTACGGTTCAATAATGTACTTTGCTACTGTATCCAATTCAGTGATCATTTTGCATGCCCCTGAATCAACACAAACCAATTAAATTAGACAATGTTATCTACTTCAGACCACAATTTAGCGTACTAAAAGAGCAAGAGGATGGAATAATATTTAAATTTGTGCTTCAATCATTAAACAGCTACAACTTATAATCGTTAATGGATTGATTTTTAATGAATGACATGCACAGCTGACAGACTCGTTCGAGGTGAAGACCGGTGTCAGGCAAGGTTGCTTACTTTCACTCTTCCTCCTGGTGATCGACTGGATTATGAAGACGTCAACTTCCGGAGGGAAGCACGGTATATAGTGGACAGCCAGGATGCAGCTATGAACGATCTGGGCTTCTCAGATGATCTGGCTCTTCTATCTTACACACAACAACAAATTCAAGAGAAGACGACCAGTGTAACGGCAGCCTCTGCAGCAGCAGCAGGTCTCAACATACATAAAGCGAAAAGCAAGATTCTGCGGTACAACACAAATGCGCCAACCAAAGCACTCTTAATTGAGATGCATTGGAGGACGTTAACACCTTTACATATCTGGGCAGCATCATCGACGAGAAAGGTGGATCGGATGCAGATGTGAGGGCGCGGATTGGCAAAGCAAGAGCTACATTTCTACAGTTGAAAAATATCTGGAACTCCGAACAACATTCAACCAAAACCAAAATCAGGATTTTCAATACAAATATCAAGACAGTTCTACTGTATGGTGCGGAAACTTGGAGAACTACGAAAGCCATCCATAAGATACAAGTGTTTATTAACAGTTGTCTACGCAAAATACTTCGGATTCGTTGGCCAGACACCATCAGCAACAACGTACTGTGGGAGAGAACAAGTCAGATTCCAGTGGATGAGGAAATCAGGAAGAAGCGGTGGAAGTGGATAGGACACACACTACGAAAAGCACGTAACTGCATCACAAGACAAGCCCTCACTTGGAACCCTCAATGTCAAATGAAAAGAGGAAGGCGAAGGAACACATTACTTTTCCGAGAAATAGAGAAAGATATGAGAGGAATGAACAAACGTTGGACAAAACTGAAAAGGGAAGCTCGGGGATAGAATAGGTTGGACAATACTGGTTAGCAGCCTATTCTCCATTGGGGGTGACAGGCATAAGTAAGTAAGTAAGTAACACATCAAAGTATATCAATATATACACTTGATGAATAATGAGTAATTATTACATTTTCATAATAAGAAAGTTTAACAGTATTTACTTACTGTTTACTACTATTCACATCACTTCTTTTTATAGATGCAAATGGAAATCTCTTTACCAGATGAAGATGGTCGATTGCAAATTTTAAATATACATACATCTAAAATGCAACAAGCCGGTAAATTAGCACATGATGTAGATTTGAAAGAATTAGCGGCTAAAACTAAAAATTTCAGTGGTGCTGAAATTGAGGGCTTATGTCGTGCTGCAGCATTCACTTCAATGTATCAATTGATAAGTGTAAGTTATTACATTTTTCTAATGTAAATTGGATACTTTTAATTGACGTTTGTTAACTGATTTAGATGTGATCTATTGCCTTGTGGAGGTTTAAAACCAATAAGTACACTGTCACAGTTATTGATGCACCTGGTCATCAGGATTTCATCAAGAATATGATCACAGGAACAAGTCAAGCTGATTTAGCTATACTGATTGTTGCTGCTGGTGTTGGTGAGTTTGAGGACGGTATTTCCCAGAATGGCCAAACTAGAGAACATACTCTGTTGGCATACACGCTGGGTGTCAAACAGTTAATTGTCGCGATCAAGAAGATGAACTCCACTGAACCTCCCTTCTCTGGGAATCGATACAAGGAAATTATCAAAGAAGTAT